CCCTCATCCCCGTCCCCGTCCCCCCCCCCTCCCAGGCTTCATGCGGGAGGAGATGGCGCAGCGGGAGGAGGCCGAGCTGCACCGGAGCCACCAGAAGCCGCGTAGCCCCAAGGGCTGGGGGTTGCTGCTGGCCCTCTGGTACCTGGCCTTCTACAAGCCCATCATCACCGAGAGCCACCTGAGGAGGAAGAACATTGAGTTCATCTTCATCCGCTTCAGCGCCTGGCAGTACGCCGGCTGCGACAAGCTCTGGGCCGGTTTGGTCACCACCCTCTGCGACAGCATCCGCCACCATTTTGGGGCTCTGCCCCTCAGCGTCTACCACGTCATGGGCACCCGGCCCCGCTTCGCCTCCGGCTTCAGCCAGAAGGAGTGGGTCCTCAAGAAGGACGCCTGCCTCAAGCTTTGGGGGATGCTCTTTGTCCTGGGCGCCGGCCTCAGCATCCTGCTGGTGGCCCTCTTGATGCCCGGCATCAAGGACCACCACACCTTGAAGGTGGTGGGCAGCGCCATCACCTCGATCTCCGGTTCCAGTTTGGCGCTGGGAGCTTTCTCCGTCCTGAAGAACCTGTTGGTCAGCGAGAAGCAGAAGATCGAGCGGTTGACCAACAGCAGGAGGTTCGCCAGCCAGCTGGGCTTCATGAACAAGGTGCGCAGCGAGGTGGAGGTGCTGGTCGACTTCTTGTCCTTCATGGAGATCTTTGAGCGCCGACGGCTCCGCGTGGTGCTGGAGATCACCAGCCTGGACATCTGCTACCCCGAGAAGGTGGCCGGCGTCCTCAACGCCATGAACACCTTGCTCTCCAATGCCAACACCCCCTTCATCTTCATCCTGGCCGTGGACCCCAGCATCATCATCCCCTGCCTGGAGCAGACGGGCTGCATGAAGGGTCTTGCTGACAACGGTTACCTCTACCTCAACCGGACGGTGACGTTGCCCTTCTCCATCCCCGAGATGGGCTCCCGCTCCCGCTTGCGATGCCTGGAAGCCGCCATCCAGACACGGGAGGACCTCATGTACCGCATCATCACCAGCAACGTGGAACGACGCCGAGCCAAGTGCCAGGGCGCCCCGGCAGTTCCCAGCTGGCGGGAGGCGGACGCCGAAGCCGTCCGCTGCATCCACGAAGCTTTCCACTGCCTCCACGACGGCGCCGACCCTCTCACCCGTTACCTCCCCACCAATGGCACCCACGTCCGCCGCATCGTCAACACCATCCCCATCACCCTACGGCTCCTCCTGCACCGCGCCGGCACCCCCGGCACCCCCTCGCCCCGCGCTGCCGCCGCTTGGGTGGTGCTGGCCGACCAGTGGCCGTGCCGGCTGAGCTGGGCACTGCAGTGCCTGGAAGATGCTTGGCAGAGCCAGCCGGCGCCGGATTTTGGCTCACGGTCCCTGTGGAGCATCTTCCAGGAGAACGTGGGGGAGCTGAGCGCCCTGCGGCAGCCCCTGCACAACGTCCTCAGCCTGGACGGGGACCCGGAGCTCTTCCAGACCTTCCTCGCCCGCGACTTCCCCTTCACCGCCCGCGAGGCCCACGCCTTCCTCGGCGTCACCGTCAACCTGGACCACTCCATCCGGCACAAGATGGGGCTCCCCCGCGGCCTCGCCTGCCTGCAGAAAGCCGCCGCCACCCCGGTGTCCCGCAGCGTCCAGTGTCCCCACCCCGAGTGACGGGGACGCCAGCGTCGGGTCTCCGGGTCACGCCTCTGGACGTGGGGCCCCCAAAATAGGCTTGGACGTTGGTGGCACCGGGGTGTCCCCGTGGTCGGCGGCCTGAGGATGCCCGTGACCTGTTGTCCTCCCCCGGCATATTTTGGGACCTGTTTGGGGACAGGGATGGGATGGGACACTAATGGGATGGGGACTGGGGAC